CCCCAAAACCCCAAAACCCCAAAACCCCAAAACCCCAAAACCCCAAAACCCCAAGTTCAAATATTAAAATTGAAGTATCCCAAGATATTATCAGAATAGCTGATTCAGTTAGTCATCATAGAGGCTTTCAAGAAATTCTCTGAAGTCATCTGGAAGCTTATCGCCATGACTCATTTTCTCTCCAGCAAAGAGTTGCAATAAACTGATTATAGGATAAAGATTGCCATCATGCTGAATTATTATATCAAAGTGCTTCTCATATACTTCTTCAAGATGAGAGTCAACTTCAAGGTTGTTCAGAAATCCAACTTTAATAATGTTGTCATAAGAGATTTCGTCAATCATCCTTAGGTCTTCTATCACATCTCCCATCACAATGATGTTTCCTCTGAGATGATGGTGGTTCTCCTCATCTAGCTCTTTCTGAGCGTCAATAAACTTCTTCACATGAGAAGATTTGTTCATAACGTTTACTAGTGGCTGATTAAATGCGACTATTTTTGAATCCTCATACACACCTAAATTTGATACAATGCTAAAGTTCTTCAACGATGAGAGATTAGTGTCAATATCATTTGTAAGCACTTCAAAAGAAGCTTTGATGATCTCTCCAATCCCTGCACTAACAACTAGCATTGGGACATCCTTTCTGATTTCTAGCAGTTCACTGATACCATTCCTAAAATAGATTTTGCATGAGGATGCCATTTTCATGAAATCCTCATGAGAGGGGCCTTCATTTATAATATCATCTCATTCCTTCTCCCACCACTCTTCCATAAGAGCTTCTTTCTCTTGAAGGTCAAGATGTGGGTCTTTCTCAATAGGTCTGTACTTCTCGTAGTTCTTCTATATTTAAATGTTAGTCAAAACTCGGAACATCAGATTTATGGATGTATAGGATAGACAAATGTTATTTACCTTATTATTTTTCGACATACTCATCTGAGAGCAAACCACTGTGAGTGAGAGCTCCAAAGCAGCTAGATGCCTTCTCACCTCCAACTCTATCTCTAGTAAGAGTCATATCAAAATCTGCCAAAATTTGGACTGTGTCGATTCCATCCTTTATGATGTTCCTAATTTTCTCCTCAAGTTCAGCTTGGTTATGCTTGAAGACTATCTAAAGCAAAATTCAGGCTACGCTGTTAACTAGAAGGCAGATATCATACTAGAAGTAAACCGCTTTAGAGAAGAGATGAGAAAGATGTTCATGACGAGTAACACTTACCTCCTCTTCAGTATTAAATTCTGCCTCCATTCTGATTTGAAATTTAATCAAATTAAAAGTTTTAATTGTTTTTATCTAGGGGGGTTTTGGGGTTTTGGGGTTTTGGGGTTTTGGGGTTTTGGGG